GCAGGGGGTTGGACTAGATGACCTCCGAGGTCCCTTCCAGCTCTGTTATTATTCTGTTATTCAGAAGTTGTGGGAGCTTCATCCCTGGAGGCTTTGAAGAGGAGACTGGACTGTGCTGTTGTCAGAAAGGGTGTGGGGTCTCCTGTTTGGGCAGGGGGTTGGACTGGATGACCTCCGAGGTCCCTTCCAACTCCATTATTCTGTAAGGATCTCCTGCTTGAGCAGGGAAACTTCATTTCTGGAAGCTTTCAAGAGGAGACTGGACTGCTCCATTGCAAAGAAAGGGTGTAGGGTCCCCTGCTTGGGCGGCGGGTTGGACTAGATGACCTTTGGGGGTCCCTTCCAGCGATTATTTATTTAATTTATTGATGATTAAATCTTGAATCTTCCAAATCTGTTTTATTTTTATTCTTTTAAAGAGAAAATTCATGACAGATAAGCACACAATCATTCCTTTAGCGGCCATTTAGAGTTACGACGACACTAAAATAAAGGTGATGTGCGACTGTTTTTCACTCTTACGACCGTTGCAGACACGTGATCAAAACCCAGCCGCTCCGCCGCCGACTCCTACTTATGACGGTTTGCCGGAAGGATAGGATCCCTTTGGCGACCTGCGGACAAGCAACCTCAAACGGGGAAAGCCAGATTCACTTTCACGACCGTCTTCCTAACATAACCACGACAGCGATTCGCTTAACAACGGCAAAGCCAGAACGATGGTAAAACCGGACCAAACCCGCTGGACGGCTGTCTCGCTTAGCCACCACAGGGTTTAATCAGAGATAGCTTGCCTGCGGCGCTGAACTTCAGCCCCAGGACAAAGCCGCGGTGCCTCTGAGCAACTGCAGAGTGTTTTCTGTGGCAACGCCAGAGAAACACATCTGGGCAAAGAGGCACAACGCAACCAGCCCTCAGGTCCAACCTGTGGGTAGGCCGCACAATTATTTCGTCCCCCCGCCCTGCTTGTTAGAGCTCGCAACGCGTGTGGTAACAGAGCGCCTTTAATGTAAGCTGGGCTAACCAAGAGTGCCTCTGAGGGAGTACGAAGTGTGCGGCCTGAGGGTTCACGGGATGAAGGCTGGCTGGGGGATTCTGGGAGTGGAAGTCCAGGCATCTTAAAAGTTGTGAGGCTGAGAAAGGTTGACATATGCCGTGCAAACTCTTGGTACACAGGTTGTCCTCTACATATGACCATAATTGAGCCCAAATTGTCTGTTGCTAAGCGAGACATTATCCTAACCCTAAGCCTCCCTCTCCTTCCTTCCTTTCCTTCTCCACATTCCCATTGCCTTCCTTCCTTCTCTTTCTCCNCCTCCCCGAAAATAAGGCCAAGTGCTTATTTCAGGGGTCAAAAGAAAATAAGACCCTGTCTTATTTTCGGGGAAACACGGTAGCAATTAAGTAAATCTCAGATGCATTGTTAAAATACCATTGTAGTAAAAGATAACCAGGTAATAATGGATCCATCTTGGACCAAACTTTTTTTTTCTTTCAGCAGTAAAAAAACACCTCAGAAAAATGCTGCTCTATTTGAAGATGGTACTTTGCACTACAGCTCTCAACCAACCTTAACCAGTCCTCAACCAGCGTCATCTGATGCCCAATCAATAACAGTGTGTGCTGATCAAGTAAGCCGTAATTCAAATTGTGACTTTGTAAACATTAAAGGCTTAGCACTCTCATTCACGTGATACCGACTTGTTGCACAATGTATCCATCTAATGAGGTTACAGCCAGTTAGATGCATCTAATGAAGGTTTAGAGGGGGGAAAAGATGACATTTCTGAAGAATCATTCCTCTTAATAATGTCAGTTATGGGATCCCAATCTGGAAATATTAGATCATATCAGTGGTGGGTTGTGGATCCCGTTGCAATGCGTCCTTACCTCTTGTGACGCTTCCGCGAGCCTCCACGACGCTCCATCTGCTCGGCAGAGCGTTGCGCAGGCGCTGTGCGTTGGGTGCACAGAAACCCCAAAGAGTTCAAATACAGGTAAGGAGCTCAGGCAAGCGGATGGGCCCTTTGGAGCACTATACCGGAACGGTACCCGGTGCTCCGGGCAGGAAGTGGTATGCCCGTACCGGGTTGTACCACCTGCAACCCACCACAGGATCATATGTAAGAATAGCAGAGTCTTATAGCAATTTGTCAGCTTATTAAATCTATTATGACAGTTTGTGGATTAGAATTCTACTTTAATCACTTACACAATGAAGCGATGAAATCTGTTTTATTTATTTTTACAAATAGAGTGGCAAAGCTAGCCAACACAGCTCTCTCCTACTTTCCCCACAGCAATAACCTTCTGAGGTGGGTTGGGCTGAGAGAGAGTGACTAGCCCAAAGTCACCCAGCTGGCTTTCATGGCTAAGGTGGGATTTGAACTCATGATCTCCCACTTTCAAGTATGGTGCCTTAACCACTTGACCAAACTGGCTCTATCCACAAAATCTTACTATAATAAATTGTTTTTTTTAAAAAAATATTATAAATGATGTATCTGGATAACAAATACAACGGGGATTTTTTAAAACAGTAATTTTCACTATTATGTCATCTAAATTTAAATCCCAATTATAAGGTAGCTTCCTATTTGTCATCTGAATAACATAATAAATCACAAATAATAATAGAAACTTTTAAATATAAAACATTGGCTATTTTGATGTTCAAAGGCAACTATTAGGACTGGATTTTCTAGTGAAGCAGATTAAGATAAATTCTGTAGACAATTAACAGTTCCCTCCAATTGGAATTCCATGACGTTCTGAGCTAATTTTAATGCAAGATAATATATGTGTATCCATCAGTTAAGTACTGATTGTAAAGTATGGGTGCTTATACTTGTAAAAAATACAGTTTTCCAGAGAAAGGGGTAGAATCCTCATCTTTTACTTTTTGACCATCAGGAAAATTTCTTGGAAACACCTCAGAAGAAATTAGTAGAAAAGAAGGCAGGACCTTCGGAAGAGTCTGGTACACATCATTGTTATAATGTTGGAGAAGGAGGAAATGTATTGGAGCAAGAAAGGAAGGACAAAGTGAGAAAAAGCTTTATATATAATACATATGTGTTGCTGTGTACCAATGGTTCAACACTTTATAAAAAATATCTTTCAGTCCTTTCATATTTTCTCATTGTTCCATATGCATATTATAACCAATTTTAGCCCACTTTATCATACAGCATCTCACTTGTTTCAAATTTCAGTAAATGTTTTATTTCAACAGTTGCATGTTCATTTGTACACAATTCTATTTCAAATTTATCTTACCCTGTTCAAAACCATGAAGTATATTTTTCTAAACGTTTCTGATAGTTGCACATAAGAAAATCATTGATAGGTTGATAGGTATATCCCTCTGCCACCAGTTTTCTTTTATTTTAAATTCCTCTTGACAAAATTCTAATTCTAACCTGACTGTGGCAAAAGAAAGCAAAAGTAGTACCAATAGTAATAAGCACCTTGGATACAATCACAAAACAATAGAGCATCACTTGAACACCATCAGCATTGACCATTCACCATCCATCAATTGCAAAAGGCAGCTTTACTCGAAACAGCTTACATTCTGCGACAATATCTGTAACACCATCAAACATCCACACCTGCTTATTCCAAGTCCTGGGGAAGGACTCAATAAATGGACAAAAATGTTAAATGCATTCTGAACATCTGGCTGACTGTGCATCCAACCATAATAAAGTTCGAGGATGAGCCATTTCAATCTTGACAAAAACCATCCTGACAGGTTCAGTGACAAAAAGGGTTGCACATCACATGACTGAAGAATAAAGTGCCTTATTGGACTGAGGTTCCCTAACTCTGGATTACCAAATCATTTATGGTATAAAATCAAGCTATTTAATCCATTTGTCACAGGCCCAAATATTAACTTCTGTCTGTGAACTTCCAGCTCTTTTTGGAGAAAGATGCCAAGAGAAAGATGAGAACTGTATTCAGTTTGTTTGAGGACGAGGAGAAAAATGAAGTTGTGGATCCTAGTAAGAATAAACAGATTGGAATGGGGAAGGTGAGTAACATGCGGAGGGTGGAATGGTACGACTTACAATGGCCATGTGGTCGTGAAAGAGTGGGCCCAGATGGGTTGACGCATAGGACTCTGTATGAAGAGGTGGGCGTGAATGGCTGGGCGTGACCAGGTCGCATGGAACAAATCACCCCGGCCATTGGACTTGAGAACAACTCGATGCCCCACTAGCTTCTTGCCTCCCCGAATTGCTGGCAGTCAAGCACATGCCTCCTGGAGCCCATGCTGGAGTCTGGCTGT